ATTAATTATATGATCCTAAGTCTAGGTTATACCCTGTTTTATGAGGAACGAGGCAACGAAAATCAGGGAATAGTTAAACCCCTAGATGTTTGATGCCTGATTTTTTATATCCAGACTCATGCCAATTTAGAAAATTTTATTTTTTTAATTTAAAATTTACAATGATAAGATCGTTATTAATATTTTAACTGTATTAGAACTAGACTTAGACTACTGTGATGGTCCCCCCCTCCCTGTGTGTACCCCTTTTATAAAATAACTACTCTCTAAATAAACCTACACATGGAAAACCTACAAAGCCTAAGAAAAGCCTACGAAGGCTTAACATAATGGAAATCTATGAAAACCTACCCTAAAGAATGGCCTAACACCCTCAATATAACCCCATACCTATATTGCCTTACATACCCCAAACACCCTACGAATCATATAACCTTTCAATAAACACATAATATTGAACAGATCTTTAGTAGAACACTTGATCATCTGGCCAGATAAATAAATGTGTGATCGTCTAGTAATGTAGGGCCCGTTGTGTGTGTAATAACCAAAAGGTTCTTTAATTGGTATATGATAGGAGTTAAATAATGAAGATGATTGATAAATATTTAAGGATTAAGAATGATTAATGAATTATACTCATAATTCATGTAACTGGAAGTTAGAATATAATATATTAATTTAATAGTAAATTACAGAATAACTGTAATAATAAAAAAAATGGGGGAGCGGTCGGGCCCCTCACACGCCCGGACCAGTGGAAGACTTTCCAACTATCTATAACTCTTCCTCCAAAAAGGTAGGGAAGGGTATTACTATTTATTAATGCACTCTGATGGTAATAAGGGAATGAGTATTCTCAGTTCCAAACCAAACATAAGTACATTTACTTCAACATTACAGTGGCTCCACCAGCCCCACGATGCTTCCAGTATAAATTGGTGTTTGCCAGAGGCAAAAAGATCGGAACTGAAATCCCAGGATCACTCCGACACGAGAGCTTACTCATGGGCGATGACCCTTTCAGTCCTATATGGCGACATAGAGATCACCCACTAACAGTACGAAACTGTTTCCCAGCGTCACCCTGTTACGAGCTTACTCAATGGGGGTTTCCCTTCGGCTCCACAAGAGATCAGACCAAGAAGCGAGATCACCCAGACACCAGAACTTACTTTGTTGGGACATAACCCTTCGGCCCTATAATGTGACATTAGAGATCACCCGTGAAGACAGTCCGATAGAGATGAAGATTTGTGTGATAGGGGATACCTTCCACACCCTGGAATTGGCCAAGCCATATAATGTTGATAATTGCTATATCATAACATAGCATTGTCAATTTAATATTATTTACTTAATACCAAGAATACTCAAGGTTCAAGTTACATTTGTTAATTAGGCCAGAGCCTAAGAACGAGTAGTCCAACCCATAGGTCGAGAGCTACTAAAAGTAATGAGTGCTATTGAATGAACTATAAGTCCAGTCAATTATATTTAATATTATTATTGTTGATTAACCACATTGTGAATTAACCAATTATTTATTTAGAGAGATATATCTAAAGGAACTGTAAGTCCTCTAAAAGACACTGATTAATCACAAGTTAACAACGTCTCGTGAAATAACCAGTTGGGTTTTCTATAAGTTTGAGGACACTAAGTCCAACAAGCTATTATTGTGTTGAGAGTAATAGAGATCTTTTGTAATATTTGTAGAGGTTTGATTAATCACATTGTGAAATAATCAGATTAAATAATTATGTAGCTTTATAGAGAGGACTATAAATCCTAATTGGTTGTTGTCATAAGTACTGATAAATTACACATTAAAGTGCCAGGTCAATTATTATATATAGGTATATAGGAAGGACAATAAGTCCTATTTGTGTATGTTGTAGTAGTAGAGGCAATATATTGCATAATTATAATGTGAAAGATATAGATTAAATATATATTTGTATAGAAAGGACAGTAAGTCCCATACAATTATTGTAGCTGTACTATAGTTATACTATATCTACTTCCTTTTAGTGTCTTAGTAAACCTATTTACTAAGAGGATTTCTCAGATAAACAAGTGTTTTAGTGTTTAAATCATCATGATTAAATCCCTAAGAAATTAGGTTTTTAAATAATTATCACATCATTTAAGTGAAATTTCTCATATAAATAATTCCAATATTTCCCCTACAGTTATTATAAAATAACAGAAAATTATATAAATTTTCTATAGACTTAGATATAGAATCATAACGTGTATAATCTCCTTTTGTTTGACATCTGTCACATTAATGACGTATTGAATGACGTATTGATGTATTGAATTGAATTTTGATTATCTATCACAACTGTCAACGTAACAAATACTAGCAAGTTTGTTTATTTGTATTTGTTTAATATAATTAAACATAAAATCATCATATATCAACCGTAATATATAACTAAATTATCAGTGATATAAATAATCATGGTTTACACCAGAAATAATTAATAGTATCCAGTAATGCTGCAGTTTTATATTCATATCAGTAGCCAAGCTTACTTTCAAGAATGAACAGAAGATTAGAAGTTTAACATTCTTATTGCAATTGTACTTGTAATAATATACACATACAGTACTAATTATCAAGAACATTCCTCAAATACATGTGTGGTGAAGATTTTCCCAATATGCTATCTATTTGATTCCTAACCTCTAATGTAAATTTATTAAAGAAGTGAATAATCAGTGTTAATGTTTGCTTTATTAATATTTAAAGTAATTGTCCTAACTTGATATTAATAGGATAATATCTCCTTGAATACAGCCCAACATATACAACTAACTCAATAATTAAATGCATAAAATATATTTTACTACTTGTATATCTCCATTCTATTCCCATAAAATATTCAAAATATGTATATTAAATATAAATCCAATAAAGATTCACTAATATTAACCCTGTCTGAACTTGTCTAGTCAATATAGCATGAACAAACAACACACATACAACTTTATCGCCATGACAACTTTCTTCCTAAATATGAGTAAAATACATAACTCATACTTGTCATTTAGTACTAATTTTATACTTTACATGAGGTACAGTTACCTAGTTAATAGTAATTATAGTCAGAGAATCCTTTGATAATTTTATTACCACTAGGAATTAAATCCACACCTATAATATCAGCATAATTAAATATTATTAGAACCAGTAATACACACAGAATTGTTATTATCAGCTTGTTTACTACAATAAAATCAATATTAAAGTTTATAATAAATCAAGACAAAATATCTACTTAAACAATACAGGCTTGTTTACCATAAACATCCCACCGTTACATGAATTTATCTACTAACACAATAATGTATTAAAAGTAATACATTCACATAAAATCACCTGCAACAGCTAAGCTGTTTCTCTGTACATCTGGTGTAAAACAAATTCCCACATGTAATCATGGGTAATTAAAAGTATACAAAAGAATCATTAGTACAGTCGACCGAGCAATGGTATGAAAACCCTTTACCATGAGACGTTAAGCATGAGCAGGTGTTCCAAATCAACACTGTAATAGTGTAATAAATACAACTATTCCATCATCATCATCGTCTCAACCATCACCAACCCACGACTGAACACAGGCAATTTCCACCGACTGACACAAGGAACGGCCCCACAATACACATAAAACAGTCACTCCAAACAATGGAGGTAGCCCACACCGCACTTGCATTTACAGGGTCGCCACTCAATAACTCCTCTCTCTCATCAATGGCTGTTTCCCCAGCAATGAGACCAGACCATAGTCACTTTAGTCTATTATCCTCAATAAATAAATACTTTATAATAACTAGATATGAAACTAGTTAGTATTGTAATAGTTCAATAGTTGATTCAATAAGTATTTTCCAAAACTGGACAATTAGAACATTGAATCAAATTGATGAAGTTCTATCAAACGACCATATAATTGGATTTTGTATATGAGTAGAATAACGTAAGTACGTAAATTATATTGATGTAAATTTTGTTCAAATGTGATTGCATTTAACGATATACGCATTACCTAAAGGTATATGGACTCGACTAAATACGTATTTTAATAGTTGTTGGGAAAAATATTAAGTATAGAATTTGCCTGTGATCACAGTCAAAAATCTAACTACGTAGTAATAAATGGAACAAGCTCACCGGATTCTCCAGTCTTCTATTGATTAATTTCACACACTTAATCGATAGTGATACACTAAGATCTTAAACCCCTTCATAGATCCAGTCACTCCTAGCTCTATATCCCAGTTATCTCTTTTATTTTATTGCGCAGTTCCTAAAAACACGACTCCCGCGCCATTTCTTTTTTTTTTCTTTTTATTGCGCAATTCCTAAAAAGCGACTCCCCGCGCGCCCGCCGATCTGCCGGCCCTACAGATGGGCAAAGCACCGGGTTTAAACCCGGTGCTTTGGTAAAAACCCAATAAACACCCATAAACTCCCATAATCACCCAAAAAAATAGGTTTTTACGTATTTTTTTGAAAATATGTAAGTAATACCAATAAATTATTTTTATAAATTGTATTGATCAATTCTACAATATTAAATAAAACGTTAACTAATAATATTTCAGGAAATTTTAAAAATCTATATATAATAAAATGAAAGTAATTAATTTTCAGTGTTTTCATGTTGCAGTTGATCAACATGTTGGCCTTTTGCTTCCCGTAGATACTTTAAAATTTCTTCATAACACCTCGTTCGCACACATGGCCGTATATATTTAAATTCTTGAGCCACTAACAGTCCGAAATACTCATTTCTTTTATCCTCTTCTCCATAAATTAAGCATTTAGAACAGTTTGTTTCTTCTTTCAGTAAATTTTCTTTTACTTTATCCTCGTTTTTTTCTTTGTTGCGACGACGCTGGGTAAATCATCTGGACACTGGGTCTCACTATCGCCAAATATATTTGGAGATCGGCTTCGGCTACGGCTTGGCAGACATTTTTTCTTTCTACAATTTTAAATTAAATTTATTAGAATAAATGCTTCGAACACACGCGATCTAAGTACCTTTTGTGTTTATTATACCTTACCTACCTAGGTATAAAAAGAGTACTTACGTAGATTTTCTTTTATTAACTGTTTTATACGAAGATCTTGATCTCTCAAATTAGCATCCATTTTACTTCCAGTGATTATCAACTAAATTAATAATCCACAAAGTATTAAATAACGTTTTTATGAAATATTTAGCACAAAAACAATACCCTTTAAATATCGATCGTCAGTAACTGTGGCTGACTTACCTATATTCTAGCAAGCAGGACTGCCAGATGTGAAGGGGAAATCCCCAATAAATTGTTGCATGTGACTGATGATGTGAGCATGTTCGTTTCATAATAAAAATGTTGCCAGGTAACCAAAAAGTCGTATGTTTTTGTGCGAATTACGATCATAATCTTTACGATCGTACATTAAAAAATAGACAAATAATAGTATGAGTACGATTTAAATCGTATATCTGTCAACCCTGCTAGCAAGACAGCGACAAAATCACGTTGCATAACAATGTAGCCCAAGCTTATATCTTATGAAATATACGGAAGAGATACGGACTTAGAAAAAACAGAAATGTTGTTCTTTGTGGAAGTCATTGATGAAATTCTATGTATTTTAGCCCGCAAACTTTCTTCAAACAAAAACAGCGCCATCTAGTATCGAGTTCTGTAATTATCTCTTTGTTTATGGATTTGAAGTAAGACCGCCACGCATGCAATACATTATGACTGGGGATTCCCCTATTCGTCGACGCTGAATATGAGGCGACGACAATCACTGTCAAACGTGTTCACTATTACTCTGACTCTGGTAACGTGACTTCCTGGTAACGTGTTAGGTAGGAAAAGCAGTAAAAAAGTGCATATTAAGGGAGCAGATTTGAAATAATATTTATACTTAACAAGAAATAATTAAAGGTAAGTGGATTTTTGAATGATACAATTATATCATGATCACTTAACAATTTTAACTTAAAATTAGATGTATTATTACAAGCTTTTATTTAGCTTGCGTTATGTAAATAAAAGTATGTAGGTATGTTCGTATGTTGATGCAATTATCCTCAATCCTCAACCGACTGGGATAAAATTTTCCATACACGTTTATTTTGGATGATAGTGCATAGTTAGCTGAGAGTCGTCATTGGATAATAATGGTGGATAGCCTAAGATGTGTACTAGATATTTATTTTTAACATAATATGCGTAAGTACCTAATCGAATTAAAGAAGTTGCTGAGAAAAATACAGAACAATACGATAATAAACTAGCGTCTGCGTTTAATCCTCCGAGGAGATGTAATTTTACAAAGGCTTTTTGTATTTATTTTATTATTTTTTTAATAAATTTATTGTAAATAACAAGAAATAATCATTGTAAAAAAATAGGCACTCTATTGTTGAATTTTCGTCAGACCAACTAATCATCGTTCATTTTTTTAGGTTCAATGGGGAGACCTAAAGATTTACGCATATGGGAGCACTACCGTACTTTACCAAACAAGTCTGTTTCTTGCAAGCTTTGTAATAAGGTCTACAAATTCAGTAATGCTGCCAAAATGCTTCAACATCTTATCACTTGTCCAAAATCTCCAGAAACATTAAAAGACTCTATGAAACTTATAAAAGATAGCTCGTCCAAAACCAAAATGTCTGGACTGTCAGAGATAGAGACAAATGATTCTTTTATAAGCCCCTCGTCGTCTGCTAACACTACAATAAATGCTGAGTTTCAAGACACCGATGATCATATAAAAACAGAATTAGCGAGAGCTATATTTGTAACAGGGACGCCATTATCGATGGTGCAACATCCTTTATGGATACAATTTTTCGAAAAATTGCAACCAAAATTTAAAATACCTTCACGTAAAGCTTTAGCGACAAAATACTTAGATAAAATATATAGAGAAATGCGTTTTGAGTTAAATGAGGAACTAAATGCTTGTAGTTACTTACACCTTCAGTGCGATGGCTGGTCTAATTTAAGAAATGAAGGAATAATAAACTTTCTTATATCAAAACCTCAACCTGCATACGTTAAAAGTTTGAATACAGAAAGTAATCCTCACACTAGTGAATACCTTAGCCAAGAAGTTGAAAAAGTAATGAAAGTGTATGGAGCAAATAAGTTTCTTGTACTTATTGGCGATAACGCTAGAAATATACAAAAGGCATTCGAATTAACAAAACTCAAATATCCACATGTTGTTCCTCTCGGTTGCTGTGCACATATCCTTAACTTGTTGTGCCAAGATATTGTAAAGATACAAGAAGTAACTGTGTTTATTATGCAAGCCATTAATATAAAAAAAACTGTTAAAAGGAGTCAACGATTAAGTTCCTTGTTGATAAAATCAAGGCAGGGTGAAGATTCTACACAAACACTAAAATTGCCTTGTGCTACAAGATGGGGAAGTCATGTTACTTCGTTAAAAAGTTTGAAAGCAAATAAGATAGCTTTGCAAATATTAACAGTTAGAGAAGATGTGGTAATTTCAAGAGATATTAAAGATTTAATTCTAAGTGATGATTTCTGGACGAAGACAGGGGAATGTATAAGTATTTTGGAACCAGTCACTGAAAGCATATTTTACTTAGAGAGCGACCAGAATCGTTTGCATCGCACATACATTACATTTAGAGATGTACAAGCTAAGATACGTTTTGCATTAAATGAGATTTCGACATTGAGCGAAGAAAGCAAACAGCAGATTCTAACATCAGTATCTTCAAGATGTAATATGGCAATGAGGCCAATACATTTTGCAGCATATATTCTAGACCCCAGGACTCTAGGAGTCGAACTTACTCAAGAGGAAGAACTTAAGGGTATGGAGTTTATCTACAATTTAAGCCAACACTTAAGTTTGTCAAATGTAATGGCAGATTTGGCGTGTTATAAAGCTAAAGAAAACTTTTGGGCCAGAGGATTTGTATGGAGCTCATTAGATAGCATTGAGCCCCTAATATGGTGGAAAGGTATTTGTGGTTCCACTGAGTTAAGCAAAGTAGCGATTCGTATTCTATCAGCTCCCTGTACTTCGGCAGCCACTGAGCGTTCCTTTAGTATCCAAGGCTACATACATAATAACAAAAGAAATCGACTTACAACTGAAAGAACTGAAAAAATTTCATTCATTTGTTATAACTGGAATCTTAAACATAAAGCTGAATGCGAGGACATTCAGTTTAATGAAGAAAATACCTTAGAAGCTTTCATTGAGCAAGTAAATGAACATAACAGTTTAGACGAAATAGAGCCTATCGAACCTATACAATTCATCGCTTGTAATAACTCTGAATCTGACAGTGATTGACTGTAGTTTTACATTTTACTTTCATCTCTTTCTTAATAAACTCAAAATCAAATTAAAAGTTTTTTATTCTGTAGGCTGCATAATAATATTGTCTATGTCCAGTACAGTGGACGTCTTGCGGCTGAGATGACGATGATGAAGTACAAAATAATAAACACCCAAAAATTTGGGTGTTTATGGGGTTTAAACCCAATAAACCCAAAACACCCGGTTTTTACCCACCAGACTTTAAACCCACCCAGGTGGATTGCCCATCTCTAGCCGGCCCTCGTCTTTTTTTTTTTCTATTCTTTCTCTAATAACGTCATAGATTATGTCACCGAAGGGTAGATATTTCAATAATCAGATTTAGCCTATTATTCGAACTGAACTTTTCTTTAAATTCAATTTAATTATATGTTAACGTATTTTGGTATTTTATATTAAATTGATTATCGAATTTATAAAACTTTAAAGGCTCTCATAAACCTTATTAAACTGTGTTGTATGTATCTTTTTTACACCTGATGATAAAAAGGTAAACTATAATTTGGTTATATATAAAATATAATATATTTTTGTTTAATTTATTTAATTTTCTTGTGACATCCACTACACTTTGGAAACACATCAAAGGAGTTTCCCTTCTGTGTCAATATTTCATATATGGTAACGTCTTCTCTGTACACTATTGTGAACCTTGACTTTAAAGTTTGTTTATATTAAATAGCTCAGCTTTCGCAGCGGTCACCCATAGGAACCCCTGTTTCTTTTATGTACTTATGGTATTAAACCTATTGTACTATAGGCGAACCGTCACACTACATTAGAATAAAAATCACATTAGAATATCTGTTGTATTTTTTATATTACGTAATTACTGATATTGTAATTTTCAGGTGTAAGAAACTGAATAGATTCGGATAAATTCTGTATAAAATCAAGTATTTTTTATCTCAGTGATGTAAGACGCAGTTGCAAAAGTTAGCAAGCAACGTTATCGTCGTTTATTGTTTGAGCTATTCATTGTTCTTTACCGTAGGAAACAGCCATGAAAACACTATAAACAACTGCAATCGCCATAAAAATAATTCTTGCGAGGAGGATAAAAATCATTAACTACATATCCACACAAAAAAACAGGACGTCCCGGGCGGGATATAAGTTCGCTTTGGGTTGTGCAATTAATTTAACCAGAAAAAAAATATATACAGGCGGCACGAAGATAACATACGACTTCGCAAGCGCGCGGGAGACATAAAAAAAGATGAGGGTAAGAAGCATCAGTGGGAAATCGAGGATTTCACTGCATATGTATAATAAATAATACAGTGATACAAACTCTGATTTTGTCACCATGTGTTATGAAATGCTTGATAAGGTTTTTAGTGACTTTACGGGCGCCTTTATGTTAGGTTTTAAAATATAATAATATCCCATTTTGTGTTGGTCTCCTCAGTAGCAAGGGTTATGATCATCTCTTTTGCCCTTATCACTCTCGGTCGTGGATTATACATATTATAGTTGAATTCATTAATATTCTTTTAAGAGTTTGTTTTACTAAGGAAATTGACCATTATTACCAAAGGAATATGCGTCAAAAAAGATAAAAAAAATATTTTCCAACACTAATTTGATTTAATTAGTAAGGGAGGTAAAACATTTTTGTTGTTTCAACTTTTGGTTTAAAATATTCTGTCATTTTATATTGCAATAGCATGGATAAATTTTTACTTTCACGTACGGCTAATAGTTTCGTATTCAACCTGTAGAACATCATAATATGTTGGCGTTGTACATAAAAGATTACAATAAAATAACATAAAATAAAAGTTAATCATAAAGCAAGACAATATCCATTTCACGTCTTGATTTCGTTTTAATTTCAATTTGGTGGAGGCAAATTCATGTGAAATGTTATTTACGTTGGATGATCAGAGGGGAGAATTTCACCTGTTGTATGTGTGTGTTATAGCCAATTTTTCAATCGGTCGAAAGTACATTTCATCGATTAATACACACAACCGAAGTAGGTTCCTCTCCATATCTTAATCGTCATCATCATCATCATGTTAGCTTTTAACTGTCCACTGCTGAACATAGACCTCTTTTTATTGGAGAGCTTTGCCAGTAGTTGCTACGCTTTGCACAGGGATAGGCAACCGCAGTTAGGCTTTGGTGGTGTTTTAAGAAGGACGCTGCTTCCTATCTCTCAACCGTGAAGTTCCTTTAGTCGCCTTTTACGGACTGGTGGCCTATTTGACACCGAGACCATAAGGTTAACCGTAATAGGTGGTTTTAATCTCATTTGTTATCCGTCATTGCTTTCTCGCTAATGTAAATGGTTCAAACGCGGTTAACATATTTTCATCTACTAAATAAATCTAACCTAATTTCGTCTATTTTTCACATAGGTAAGTGACTATTTTTTACGCAAGTTCCGACTGTGAATTTAAACAAAGCCATTTTTTTCAAACAAGCCCACTTCCCATTGACTGAGAATGCGACAAACGTCGGTCCAATTTTCCATGTCGCTAGTCACCGACGGTACTTTTTGTTCGTGCACGCATCCTAGCAATTTAAATACATCTAACCGCAAAAAAGTTGCCCATCTGTTTACGTACATGGAGATAAATCTATTTTTTTGCGAATATAAATGTACGGTACGACTACATACTTTCCATTTGCGAGGATACATTATGGATTCTTCAGGAAGATGTGAGAGTTTGTTTAGATTTGGCAATGCACAAGTAATATTTCTGGTATATAAATATGCTATGACAATGGCCGGTATGGTATCTCTTTGCTGCAACGGGGATGGTACATTTACATTCCAACGAGGGGCTATTACTTTAAACATACTTTTTAAATTTTGTCTCTGACCAAAATTACCCCGCCTTTAATAAACGGTTTAAAAAAGAACACACGCTAGTTTTTATCAAGTAACCTGTTCTATATATTTATTTAGTCTGCGCAATGTGATAATGAAATTATAATTACAATGACAATTAATATCATACAATCACACCAACCTCTTGATTTTCAAGTATATTATTCTTTGAAATGAGACAATAGGTACCAGGGATACAAAACACCCAAGCTCAAATTTAAAGTTTGTTTTTGTTCTCTAAATATAATTGACTCTTTGACAGATATTGAGAATCAAACCTGATCAACGTACTTGTTACTGCATCACCGAATTTATCAAGCCGTACCTAACAGAGTGTCTCACTAGTATTGAAAGTTTTAGAATTAGTTTCTATTCTCTTGCAATCATTTTCCCTATAATCTTAGGGTTTGTAAGGTTATCTGAGGGATATAGCGAGGAAATTGGTGTTTTATTCAGACCGATCACTATCAGACCCTCGCCGACTGTAGAGCTTGCCAGACCCGTCTCAAGACTAGTCTGTTTTAACGATGGTCGTTCCGATAGGATTATAAGAACTAGTGCCAACGTTTGTAGTACCTTTGAAATGCGAAATGGGTTTTAGGTTCGTACAATCGACATGGGGCAATAGCACAAAATTTTATTGTTTTATTTTTATATATTATGGAGATTATTAAGAATTTTTCTTGCGTTGTTAATGGAAAGGTGTATTTTTATTTATTTATATGCTTTTGTATATTCTCTTATAGTATAGGTATTAGCTTATAACAAAAATGTACACAGGTGGATTTATTTTTTAAAGGGATTTCTTCCAACATATGTATATATAGTTATATATATATAGTTCCAGTGTATTCCCTTGTTGTAAAGATAAGCTTTTAAGGTAAGTATTGTCTATTCAGGCAAAGCACGCTTCTATTATAGCCTAAGATCCTGCCACTAATTTCTACAAGTATAATTTTTTTTAATGAAGCTTGTTTAAGTAAAAGCGAAATTATGATTGACAGTTACTAAAATTACTACCTATTTTTACAAATAATTTTGGTAAATTTGACTAAGTCATCATGGTTTTCGATAAAATTTACACTAAATGGATGTTTATTCTTCTTCATGCACGATAATATATAATTGCCTATAAAAAACGATCGCAAGTAACGATTGCCACCAGAAATCAGCGGCGGGATCTGAGGCTATTAGCTGTAATTAATTTATCCGGGTATATATGAATTTAGCTTCGCTTGGGAGAGAGTGGCTAATCCAGCCTGTCTAAACTGAGCCAAATATCATAAAGTGGCTTAATTGCCTTACTTTTCCTGTAGACATTCCAATAATTCAAGTTCCATAATCGTTAATGTTTCACGATTCGACATAATTTCAGCATATAGGCAGCAGTTTCTTCAGTATTCACACATTCTATGAATGGTATAGCTTGTATATATTTTAATATGCTCCTATCTTAAGATATTTATCTAAAGCAATAAATGTTTGTTAATTAAATCAGTACTATAGTAAACTAGTTGTTGTTTGCGGCTTTGTATACATGATGCGTGACTCCCCTTTAAGTAGAAATTTTCAAAAATCTTTCAAACAAAAAACCTTTCTTGCCGGATGTTAACGTTATAAAATAAATCTTTGGGTCAAATTTTTTTATCTTAAGCCAAAACTACTTAATCTAGAGGTTAAATAGTTTTGGCAATGCGTTGTTATATATACAATGGATTTGAAGAGACTGATATGAAAGAAAAAAAATTTGGTATTGCATACATTTATAGGCTACGGTAACCGTTTACCATCAGGTGAGCCGTAGGCTTGTTTGCCACCTTAGTGGTATAAAAAAAGTTATCGCGTAATAAATCTAAACAAAAGCTAAAAACAAAATGCACTCAAATTAAGAAAATTATGCCCGATATCGGCGACTTGCTGGCGTATTAAATTGGCGTGTGGACTTGAAAATTGGTACTTGCTAGTAACTCTTGCCTGGATCTGTCATTATTGAAGCTGGATAAAAAAATTATTTCTTTAACAACAGTATTGTAAATATTATTCAGACCAGTTGTAATTTGTAATGTATTAAAGTTAATCTGCATTTAGATACCTAATTTTACGCGTCGCCTACTTTTGTTACGAGTACTACACGATCCGCGTATCTTTTTATACAATTGTTAAGAGTTTGAAGGTTTTTTAGAGGTTTTTAAAGGACAATGTTTTGATTTTATTATCTTCTAATAAATGCCTAAATATTTTGTAGGTACCTAATGTTACAAATATTTAAATTTAGAACGCGGAATTACGAGTTTACATTAGACTTTGTCTGCAATGAATAATTATTTATCCTGTATAGAAAAACTGCAGCTTCAATTGTTACTAAATCAAAATGAAAGAATGTAAGAAAGAATCGTAAGTATCGATTCAGAACGTGATCGTGTAATAATGTCGCAAAAAAATTAAAAGAATTGAGAACCTTTTTTTAGAAGTGATTTAAAAAAAATACAACGGATATGTCTAAAATGTGCGCAGACCCTTATTTCCATACTTAATCTGAGTACCTACTGTTTTATTTATACTCTGACCTTACTCTATTAATAGAAACAGTCACACGAGATTCCTACAGTTGGCTGAACACCCATTTGCGGTATACGCGGTACAAAATACCGCAAATTAACA